TGAAACTTTGAACCAGAAAGCTGATTTTCCAACAAACTTTTTCACTTGTGATTAAAAGTGTATAGAGTAAACTCTTTCAATTAAGAAAAATAGCTGAAAATGCAATAATTTGACTATTAAAATACCAAAAAAGAGAATAATTCAAGTTTTTACTCATTAATTTATTAACTGATATTTATTTTTATTTCTTTTAATCATTAATTACGGAAGCAAATCAAATTCATTGCTTAAATTTTACAGCTATTTTAGCTGCTTCTTTAATTCAGAAATTCAAATAAGTGGTCTGTGTGTGTCTGTCTGTCTGTCTGTCTGTCTGTTTTTTTCCATTTCAAACTTCTGAAGATGACATTTACTAAATATTACAAATTTATGTCAAAATTTTTTGTAATAAAAACTGAGGAAAATGTTTGCTTGCATAGATAACTCAAAAGGCTGATTTCAGAAAAACAAAAAAATTGCTTACATAGAGTCATTGCAAAGCAAGCAGTGATTCCAAGGCAAAAATTTCAGAATTAGATTCCAACTACTTGGCTGAAAAAGTCAAAACGAAATTGATTTTGCTATATTTGTCATTATTCAAAGCTTTTGTTCATTCTTTGCTACAGTAAAACCCTTGCATTTTTTCACAAACAAACAAAAATATGTCATTTATTTTAATTGTATTTATAAATACAGTTTTTTTTGTTACAGAACAAACAAATTAAATATTCAATTTTTTTAAAAATTTAAATTTTAATCACAATAAATTTGATTAATTAATCTGATCACGTCACATTTTTGTTAGTATTTTTTAATATTTTTTCAGCATTTTTTTAACTTTTTTCGCGATAATAACTTGTATTTTTTATATTTATTACAGATTTATTCAAATAAAAATTGGCCTTACGTGTTAAATATAAGCGATTAAATTGCAAATGAAATTCACTATCAACAAACTGATGTTTGCAATCTTTGTTTTGGGAATGAAAAATAATTTATTCATTGGAAAAATACTGAAATATTTGAAATATGTATTAATTAAAAGATATTTTAGCTCTAAGTACTGACAGTGTAAAAATTAGACTTCAGTATTTTCAGTAGTGTTTTAATAATGATCCAAATTGAAATTTAGTGAGCTTACATTTTGCAACTTGTATTTATCCTTCTTAATTGCCTTCTTCCTCGTTCAAAATTGATAATTACGTATTTTTTTATCAGTTTTATAGTTATTTAATCTGTTTTTTCTTTACTGAAGTGTGATTATTTTAGATTGATTTTACTGATATCAGTGTGATAAGGTAAGAAAAGCTAAAGTAACTAATTTCAATTTATATCTATTATTTATTTTTTGACAAAATTATTTCCTATATGTCTTTTATTGTTATATGTTTATTTTATTAGACTTGTCGTAATTATGAGCTCGGAAAATGAGAAAATATAAACGACACAATTAAAAATTAAAAAATGCTTTAGAGAAAACAATTTTCAAAAACTCACAGTAATAAATATCAATGTCTAGTGTTTAAAATGGCGAAAATAAAAGTGAAATTCATTATTAATAATAGATGAATTTTTTTTAGCTTTCAAGTAATTAGGTATCAGAGTTCTTAAAGATTTGGAATAAGCAAATAAGCAAAAGGTATTTTGTTTTATTCAAGTTCAAATCTTACTTGTAGCCACAAATCATTAAAATGATTTTATTGTATAGTAAGTTAGTCAAATATTTATTTGAATTTAGCTTTAATTGCAAGCAACTGAAAATAAATATTGTTAAATTTTAGTTTTTATGAAAAAGATAATTGCATAATGGAATACAAGTGAAGATAAATGCAACAAATTAATTTATATGATTTAATTTTTTTCAATTAATGACTGATTAATTAATAAGAGTTTTTTTTTTAATATATATATAATTGAAAAGAATGCAACGAAATTAGTTAAATTCTATAAATTTGCTTGTAAACAACAAGCACAGATTGCAGTATTCAGCATCAATTACTTATACTTTACTTGTTTTACCTATCTATACTTGTACTCACTACTTATTATAAGCTTTTCATTAATTTGTTTTTAATTTCATTCATTGATTACTCATTTATTCGTTCAAACATGCACTGATTTCGATATTCGAATTAACGAAACAAAACCATTTCCAATGAATAAATATTAAATTCACTCTTATGACATATACTAACAACGATTTGCTTTGCCTTTTACATTCAACAACGACACATTATGAAGGTTGTTTTATTTTCACTCTAATTTTTAATATTTAAATAAATTTTTTTTCAAGTTATTTTCAAAATTTTGCACATTTAGTGAGTTAGCAATTTATGGTTTATAAGCTAAAAGTGATAATAACTTCTATTTTTCAGAGCAAAATATCTGAGATATATATTTTTTATTTTTATAAATCTTTTGTATTGCTTTAGTTTTTGCTATGAAATTATCACAAATTATTCTCACTTATGATTATTTTACCAAAATTTATTAAAATATTTTCATTAGCAAAATTCTTTTTACGCATTTTCAATCTGCATCAAAAGAAAAATTTGTCGATTTGTTCATTATGTAATTTTAAAAAATTTCAAAAACTTTTTTCATATGCTTTTTTATCTAATATTAATTAAATAATAACTGATAAAACTGTAGATTACAGTATTTTGATAAAGTATTTAAAGTAATAATCATAATCAAAATTTTTCTAAAGTTTTTGAAATTTAATTAATTTTTGATTCAATCATCCAATCATCAATCACAAAAATTAAAAATTAACTTTATTGACTTTTTTTATCATTCTTTCTCATACTTTTGCTTTTTTTATCTTAACAAGTAAATTTTTGTTGTTTCTATTAAAAAAATATTATAAATGATACTAGTACGATATGATTTATAATCATAAAAAACAATAAATATTACTTTAAGTTTTGCCAGTAATGCCATCTGATGTGATATCATGTTTAATTTTTGTTTGATAAAAGTAATAAAATATTTTTTTAACTCCAAAAACTTTAAATATTTATCCAAATTTATGCAGCAATTAAATCTTCAATTTCTCACTGACATGTCAGTACAAGCAAATTTGGCAATATTTGCTATTAAAACATTTGTTAAAATAATCTATCAAAAATTTTTATGGTGCAATTATAAGTTTTGAACTCTGTTTTAAAAATTCGCGACAAAACTTATTACAAAAAAAAGCATTAAAATTATAGTAAAAGTATCAGTCTGAATATGCTTCTATTTTTTTCAAATTACTCATTACTTTTCGTAGTTTTTATTCTAAATTTCTCATGCGAAAGAAGCATAATTAAATTTTATAATTAATAAATTGAAAGTTTTACTCATAATTTAAAATCTCTCAAAAAATTTTTCAGATATTATTGAAAATCAGTAAAAAAAAGCTGAAAATGGCTATGAAATATCAAAAAATATAAAAAAATGGTTATGAAAATATCAAAAAATGCGTAAAATATATCATATGATCTATTTTTGAGCATTAAATTAATTTTTTGCTATAAAATAAATAAATTTATAAATTATCCGACGTTGGTTTTGAATTATTTTTATGTAAATTGAAAAGAAAAGTATTCATTTACTGCATTAAAAATTAAAATTAACTTTCTGCTCATTTTTGAGTAAAATGTGCATGGATTTCTTGCATTGTTATCATAATTATAGTGAAAAATTTATTTTGAATTGTAAAAAATTTAATAAAAATTTTTTTATGGAAAAAAATTATATTGAAGTTTAAATTTGTTTTTCATATTGATTAAGCTAATCTTGAAAAGCAATGAATAAGCTAGCTTATTCTCTAGAGAATTATCATGTAATTATGCAATGTCCAGACTTTAGTCACATAATATTAGTAAAAAACTGCTTGTTTTTCATTCATTGAATCAAACTTTTGCAGTTCACTTAAAAAAGAACAAAAAAATTATTTTTAGAATCAAAATACAAAACTTTTTTATAAAATATTGGTAATTTTTTTTCACTTAAATTGAAAATTTCATTCATAATTATATACAACAATAATGAAGCATTTTGCAATGATTACTGAATATATTCTCAAGTTAATCATTAAGTCTATCCAATAAACTGCAAAACTTCGTGAGAACTTCAATGTTATTCTATTCTTGATAACGCAGTTTAGCAGACATTATCACAACATTGCAAAAAAGTTTAATTTTATTTAGCTTAAAAACTTAATTAAAATAATTCAATAATCTTTCTAAAAATTATTTTCAAGTTGAAAAAACTGAATAAATAAATTTTAGCCATATCATTGATAAAGCTTATATTTTGCTTTTATTTTTTTTACAATAAAAATATTTTTTCTTTGAATAATTTTTTTACAAAATTTATGAGCAATTTCATAAAGTTAATCAATGCTACTCGCAAAATTTTCTTTTTTAGCAAGTTTTTTTTTCATTCAAATTATATATTAGCCATTTAGCGTACTTCAATTATTCATTTTCAATTATTTTTCAAATGTAAAATCATTTTACACGTGTTATAAGCAAATGAAGCAATTATTTCAGTACAAAATTGAGTTTTTTTTAATTTCAAGTACTCAATTTTTACAGTAATTGTAAGCTTATTCAAGCTATTTAATTATGAATTGCTAACTTCTATTTTTGCAAAGTTAAATTTTTATTGTCAGTGTGAATGAATTTTTTTTTCTAAGCTTAGCTATTTTTTTCCTTTTTATTTAATTAAAATTTTCCTATAGAAATTACTTTATCTTGTAACTTTTGTAAAAATTAAAAATTTTATGAAATTTCTTTTTTCATTTGACGAAAAATAAATACAGTGCCTATAAGTGTTTAACCATTTTATTGACAAATACTTTTAACATCTCAACTTGAAGGAATATTTTAATTTTTTAATAAAGAGATCAAATACGAATGCGTGTAATAACAATTATACTAATACAAATAAATAACTTTAAAATGTTAATATTAATCAAAAAATTTTAACTGAAATTTATTTACTGATTTGATAAAAAATAAAGGTTTAATTTGCAGAAAAATAATACCGTATCAAAAAGTATAGAAAATATCAGTACACTGAAGCGATTCTCGACTGCTTCCTCTGGTAAACCTCGAACAGCTGCTGTTTTAAATCAACTTTTGCCTTTGTCAACACCACTTGATCATCATTACGAGCAATTAAATTTGAGATTTGTTACGGGATATTGGAAATTATATTCAGCAAAAAGTACGCTCGATGGCAAGGTATATTTTGAATTTGAAAAATTGACTCATGCGCACCATTTCAAGTTTGAAAATTAATATTTAAAGTTTAGTCGCCAGTAAATTTTTTAATAATCAAAAAAATTAATTAATTACTTAGTTCAAAGTGTAATTCATTAATATCATGTAATCGTTGTATGTATTTATCTGCAATATAGCTATTTTATTGTCTTCTCAAATTTGCAATGATTTTGAATTGCTTTTTTTGACAGTGTTCAAAAAATACGCTATGTATAAATATGTAATTAATATACAAACCATAATTTATATTAGTGAAAGAAATTAAAAAATTGGTTAGTGCTCGATACTGTGATAATTTTGCCAAGTTCAAACTCACATATTTCTAATTTGAGTTTATCACGTTGAATTTTCTTATTTGAATTTTATTTTGCCCGACTAAATTTTCTGAGTTTGAAATTTGGGTGTATTTTGCATATAAAATTTTTGATGCATTTTAGTATTCAACAGTATTTGTCTTTGAACGTAAAAACAACGTGAAAGCACCATCACGCTTGGGACGTAGTAGTCGTCTTAGCTTAATTGATCTAATTCGTTACGATATTTCCCAACTTGCATCATTATCTCATCCACGGCTTTTGCGCATTTTCCACGACCTTCAAGAAAATAAGTGAATTATATCAAACTTATACAATCAATTCCGTGCTGAATTAATCCAGCAATTACTAATTAAACGTTTATTGAATGATTTTTAATTAAATTTATATATAACCAATATTGAGTAAATTTATTTGAATTTTATCTCATTGCTATTTTGAGTTCATTTTTGCTAGGGAAATGATGGCATTTGCTTCCGAATGTGTCAATGCAAACTTAGAAAAGTTTATAGCTGAGAATGGAATTGACAAGCTCGAGATCAAACTCGGTATCTTGCAGGTTTATTTTTCCGTTCATAAATTTACACGATTAATTTTTATAAGTTTTCTTTTAGCAATTATTCTCAAAAACATGACAAAGTTATATTTCTTGTAAAAATAATTTTACAGAAATCCTAACTCTAATCACAAAAATTATTTTGAAAAATCAAATTTTTTGCAAAAATTGCATATATTAACTTTAAAAATAAAACTCGCTTATAACTCAAAAATATATGTATAATAATTAAATTGAACAAAAGTAAAAAATTTTTAAAATAAATAAAAGAAAACTTTCCAAATGAATAAATTTTTATAGAATATTTAATATATTTTTATTAAAAAAAATGATTTTCATTTGCAAGTTTGATGAACGCATCAATTTTTTGCAGGAAATTCGGACAATTTTTCAAGAAAATAATTAGCTTTAATTTGTAGTCTAATCATTCAACATAATGAAAATGCTGTTATCATTTATAATTAGTAATTTTAAGTCAATTTAGCTCACAAAATCATTTCAACTCAAATAATGATAAACTTTTAGATTATCGATGGACTTTCATATTTGCATAACAGTGCAAAAATATTGCATGGTAATTTAGTTCCAAATGCTATATATATCACATTATCAAAGCAATGGAAAATTGGGGGCTTTGCATTTTCAGTAGCTGCGATTGAACCGGTAAAAATAAAAATTATTCATTCAACGCTGATTGTATATTGATAATATTGATGTTAACGTAAGTAGTAATTATAGTATTATTAATAAGAATATTAGCAACGATAATAATAATAACACTGTAACTCTACAGTTACCTCAAAATTCTTGTTTTGATTCTTATTTAATTATTTTTTATCATTTTTTGCTGAAATATTTGAGTAAATTTGAAAAAACTTAAATAAGTCTTCACAAATTGATTAAGGTTCTTACGTAAAATACTAATTAAGCTAAAGAAATTCCGTGCAAAATGCTAATTAAGCTAAAAACAACAAATTGGTCAAAATTTTGATGAAGCATTACTTTTAGAAAAATAAACAAATTGCAAATTTTTTTATTTTTTAAGTGGTTTCATTTTAGATTGAAAAATGAAAGCTTGCATAAAACTCACAATAGCTTTTCATTAAAAATTTGTCATGGAAAAGTTATATTTGCATACTAACTGCAAAATTTCAATTTACAATTTTTTCAGAAAATAAAGGATTTCTAAAATTTTCTTACTTCAATTTTTAATTTTTGGGATAAATAAATATGCTATACTTTTTTATTCAAAGTGTGTCTTAAACTAATAACGACTATAATTTAATTATTGAAAAATGTAAAGTTTTCAGCTGCTGTTGAAAAATTAATGTTCAAGAGTGACCTTTCACAACAAATTAAATTAAGTTTGATAACATTTTTAGAAAAAAAGTTTCATGTTATCAATTATTTAGACTGATCAATTGATGTAGATAATGAATAAATTTTTCAGAATATATTTCCTTGTCTTCCATGGACTAAGAAATTACCAGTAAATTTGCAACCAGACCTCGATTTTTTGGCACCAGAATATTTAGCACCATATCAGAATTCTGTTACAGCTGCTGCAGATGTTTTTTCATTGGGTGTACTCATTTGTTGGATTTGTACTGGTATGTATATTTAATAAAAAGGTTTTTAATTTGTATTCTGATTTAAAATTTTTTTAACATAGAATAAAAAAAGTTATTTTCGAATTTTATTTTGCATGAACAAAAAAAATATTTAAATCTCATTGGATTCTAACTTTATAAGCACAAATTGAATGTGACTGTAATAACTGTAATGATTTAAATATTAAAACGCTATGATTGTAATTATAATAATTTTGATGAAAAAATTTTTATCACAAATTGTTATTAATTCCTAAACAGTGAACTCATAATTGATTTTTAAGAATGATTCTCAATATTTTATCAAATTATTAGATAATATAATTTATTGCACTGAAACTTAAGACAGTATTAGTTTTACTACAAGCATTGTTTTAAACGATCTAATTTCATACATGTAATCAAAAATCTTTTTTAGAACTTAATTAATTGTTAAAAATTATATCTATAAATTAGAAAATTGATTGAAAAAACAACTATAATGACATTTATGATTAGCTCTCATTTGATCAAGACAAGATTTAGGTGGAAAAAAGTTGATCGATGCAAAGAATAATATCGAAACATATGATGTGATTTGTGGACAGGCAATTCCTTACTCTTTTGAAATTTTATGCTTTTGAACAATTTTTAATTTTATTACTAAAAAATTTTACAAAAAATATAGATGTTTTTTTATAAAAACAACTGTTATATAAAACTTCAAAAGAAATTAAAAATAAAGTTGAAAATTATATTGTTGTTATTAAGTGTAAGAACAATTTTCAATTTTATTACTAAAGAATTTTATGTTAAAAACAAGTGTTATTAAGTTATTAGATAATTAAGTTGAATAAAAATGCTGCTTTTCAGTTTATTTATAGCTAAATGTTAACTGAAAATTTTGAAGTTAATTTAAAGCCAATTATTA